TCTTGAATATCTCCAGAGAAGGAGACTCCACCACCTCCCTGGGCAGCCTGTGCCAGTGCTCCATCACCCTCAGAGTGAAGAAGTTCTTCCTTGTGTTCAGCTGGAGCTTCCTGTGCTTCAGTTTGTGCCCGTTGCCCCTTGTCCTGTTGCTGGGCACCACTGGAAAGAGTCTGGCCCCGTCCTCCTGACACCTACCCTTGAGATATTTTTAAACATTTATTAGGTCCCCTTGCAGCCTTCTCCAGGCTGAACAAGCCCAGCTCCCTCAGCCTCTCCTCATAGGAGAGATGCTACGGGGAAGAGAGCTTGGTTCCCAAGTCAGCTGTGAGGGTGCTCCCGTGGGAGGTGCTTTTCTTATACCTTAAAATCCATGGAGGGAAGAGTAAAAGTACTTGGGGAAGGGGCAGAGGGGGGTATTGTGCAAGAAGGAAACCCTTACAGTGTGAGGTTGGTGATGGATGATGCACGAAGCTGTGCTTGTGCTGGTCCTGGGCAGCTAGGTCCTTCTGCTAGTCTTCTGGAAAGCAGGCGTGAAAGGGGGCCGTGGGGTGGAGGGCTGTGGGTGGCTCTGCTGTGCAGCCACTGCTCCTACTTGGGGAAGGGGCAGAGGGGGGTATTGTGCAAGAAGGAAACCCTTACAGTGTGAGGTTGGTGATGGATGATGCACGAAGCTGTGCTTGTGCTGGTCCTGGGCAGCTAGGTCCTTCTGCTAGTCTTCTGGAAAGCAGGCGTGAAAGGGGGCCGTGGGGTGGAGGGCTGTGGGTGGCTCTGCTGTGCAGCCACTGCTCCCCGGTGTCACCACGGCATCGAAGCAGGACAAAAATAGCGGGCAAAACTGCCCGTGGTTCGAGCTGCCTGCGGGGAAACTGGGGGCTGGCTGCCAGCCCTGCTGTGACCCGCGCAGTGAAGCGCTGCTGGCAGTGTCCGGGCTCAGTCCCGGAACGATTTTTCCAGCGTCATTTAACCTTAGAAAGTCTGTTTGTTGTCTGCTTCTGGCACAATTGCTGTAACGCAGTCCTGGAGGGTTGGGTGGCCCTGATCCGAAGCTCTGATGTCGTCCTGCGTGGATCCTGGCCGTGGCTTTTACAGGCATTTAATTTTCCAGCAGCCAGTGTAAGGGAACACTGGGGCACGTCAGCGTTCAAAAGGGGACCCTGCGCGGGCTGGTGGCAGGTTTGGCTCCAAGATGGCGAAAGGTGCAGTGAAGGCATCGCTGCGCCCAGCAGAGCAGAGCTGGGAGCCAGCGGCACCTCGCTGCCCGGCCTTGCTCCTTGCAGATCCTGGTCCTGGACGGCAAGCTGCTCCGAACGGAACCCGCCAAAGTGATGGAGACGGTCCAGAAATTCCTCGGTGTGACCAACTTCATCGATTATCACAAGACTCTGGCGTGAGTCCTTCCCCGAGCTTCTCCTCCCTCCAACCTGCTGTTGGTCCTGGTGCTGCAGGTTGTCCCTGGGGACACGCAGCTCTGTCCCGGGGCAGCCCCCGGCCCTGGGGCTCACCGCAGAGCTGCGACTGGCTTTGATGAGACCAGGGTTTCGCCTGAGGCTGGAACAGCTGCTCCTCAGTAGCTGCAACCAGAAACGACGTTCAACAAGCACCCTGCTTTGCTGTGCTTACCCTGGCACTGCGGCGGGGACGATGGTGTCACCCTGGGCAGCGCAGGAGCGGCTCCGAGCTCCTGGAGCAGAGTTCAGGGCTGAATTCGTGCCACTCGTCGAGCTCCGGCACCATGGCTCCTCGTGCGTTCGCCGCAGAGAGTGGCTCTCGCTGCTTGCCGGGTGGCACCTCTGTGGGTGGCACCTTGCGCTGAGCCTTCCAGGCGTGAAAACCCAGCATAGGAAGCAGGAGACTCCAGAGCCCCTAGGAAAATGAGAATTTACCTCTGCGCGGCTCTTGCCTGTATACGTGGCTGCTCTGAGTCTGCACCCAGCTGTCGTGGGGCTCTTGAGGGCACCCGGGGCTGAAGCTGCCGCAGAAAATAATAATTAAACCCAAGTAGACGCCCGTGCTCCTT